GTCTTTGCAACTTTACAGATCTTCTTTATGCACCAAGAGCTTGTAACACTCCAAAGAGAAAGGAAAAATTGAAATCGCATCATATGACCCCTTTAAGAAAGACTGACTCATCTACACTAATTCAGACACACACAAATATGCATGCAATAAATCCAGTCCTGTCCGCTCACTCAAGATATGGTAATGAAAGCGCTGATTTATGTGGTAGAGTGTAAGTGAAGCCCATCTGATGAGCAGAAGCTGGACCAGTGGAAACCTGAGCGTCGTCTCTTTCTATCTCTGTATTTGCCGTTCTCTCTGTGAGTGTGTGTTATCTTCCTGTGCAGACGTGACGGGACGCCCCGCTCATCTATTACTGTCTGACAGCACTGAATACTGCGGCTCGCTAACACCAACACAGACCTGTGTGCTATGATCAGCGAAAGAGCTGCTTTCAGAGACACACATTCACAGTATTACAGTCACTCTGCACACACACACACACAGACACACACACACACACACACACACACAATAATAAATTAATATTAAAAATAAATATTCATGTCAAAGTTTACACTGAGAAATATCTTGTAATTTCTTATTGATTATATCAATTTAGAAAATATTTCTCTAACTTGACATTGAACTTTTTGATTAAAATACAAGTTCTATTAAAATAGTTCTATTTCTTATATATATATAGAACCTGTAATTTTAGATCCCGCTTCAGCTGATCAAACGGCCAGAGGCTCTTTAACGAATCAACACATATAAGCTCAAATATGATACTTTAGCTTTAGCTTATTACATGTGCATATTTTATAATATCATACACAGAATGTTCCAAAATGGTGCAGAAATCACTGAAAATCTATTTTTCCTTCATATTTTCTTTTGGTTGTACAGCTGCGCCGTCTTCCCCTCCTTCGCTGCGTAATCTTTCCTCTCATGTGTGATTATGGTAGTGAATTGAATCTACATGTCAAAGCTCTTGTTATTAATTTCCCAGCATTCAGTGAGAGTAATGAGCTCCTGCGGCGTGAACTTTCCTTTTCTCTCGTTCCCTCTCTCCGACTGATTTCAGTTCAGAGAATCGCCTGTAATTCCCCCGATCCGTCAGAAAATCCCTGCAGAAACCCTTGCGAGCAACAACCGGAGCAAGACGGACAACTCCAAACATGGGAATATGGAAAACAGGGACTGGAAAACGTCTGGAAATCTTCGGAGAAGTCATGGGTCTAAAATACACATGATAAGGTCAATGTGTGTGTTTAATGGGTAAGATTTACAGAGATTGATCTACATAACTGTATATTAAAGAGTAAATATGGTCTGATTGGCTCGACCAATCAGAGCGCAGGACAGGATGAGTGTGTGCGTGCCGGATGTCCTGTATGTTTTAATTACAGACGCTCCGGACAGATAAAGACTAATCAAGCATGATTACACAAAACACACACGCACGCGTGCGCACAAACACACACACGCACACACAGACACACACACGTAAAGAACAAATGTATCGTGTTTATATTAGCGTAACATTAATTAGGCCTATTGCAATTTGTTTTCTTATTCTGTCTTTTTTCCCTCATCTGTTTATTGCCTAATTATTGCAATGTATTTGTCGCATCTGTTTGATCCTGATATCAATTTAATACAGAATGTATTTGATTTGTATTATGATGTCTCATCCCTGTCTTTTTCTGTATAAAGTTTCCTTTACAGCAGGTTCTCCCATAAGCGGGTTTTTCTTCTCTACTCCATCACCCCTACAAAAGTTATGTCCAAAAAGATCTGAAATCTTCTATTAATGTATGCAGAAGACAAAATCAACCATTGATAATTGCAAGGCACGCGCACACACACACACACACACACACACGAATACACACACACACAAACACACACAAACACACACACACACACATGCTTGAGACTCCTGTACAGGGTGGAAAACTGAGTATTTTCCTCAGCTGATGTTTATCATGACGTCTCACCACGGTGCTGAACACATCATGTCACAAAGTTCATTTTATGAGGAAAGATGATGGAATAAATACTTTATCGACCTTTTAGACTGTTTTATTCGAGACATAATAAAAAAAAAACTGAAAAAAAAAAAAAAAAGATTT